GACAGAAATGTTTAAAAAGTGTTGGGTTTCCTACGAATCCGCAAGAGCGCGCGGGATGAGATTTTGACATTTTTTTTTGAAAAACCATTGGTTTTTTGATGTTTTTATGTTAAAATCGCTCCGAACACTAAGTTTTGGAAGGATTTCGTCTTGCGCGCGCGAATGTCCACTTTACCTTATTTTTTGCAAGGGATTCTTGAAGTTTATATGTTAGAACAAGAAATGTCATTTTATATTGTTTTTTGCAAGGGAAAGCGGGGGGGAACAAAACAACCGGATCGGATCACCATCGTTTTGCCTGAGACTTCCTCACGAAAATGATGAAAATGTGGCTGCGGCCTAGGCGCGGCGGGGGGGGCGCGCACCAGGGGCCCCAACAATAATTATTCTTTAGAAGTAATAATGTTCAACAACAACAACAACAGCAACAACAACAAAAACAACAACAATAACAACAACAACAACAACAACAATATCAACAACAATCATTCCAAGACTGCTCGCTCCTACCGGCCCGCGCGTCATCCACTATGCGTATCCCAAGCCATGGATACCCAGAGACGAGACTAATTTTTACCGCGAGTTGCGATTCAGCTTACGCCATGGCTTGCACCAGCCATTCAACACAGGAGAGCGCAATTCCTGAAAGGGGATATCTGGCGGGAGCGGGGGTCTAGACTAAAGTGCAAGAAGATCTTAAGCGGGAGCGCCGTTCTTGAGTAAATTGTGAGGAAGCCTCAGACGGGAGGGGGGGTCCTGACTAAATTGCGAGGAAGTCACAAGCGGAAGCGCCGATCCTGAGTAAATTGGGAGGAAGCCTCAGGCGGGAGCGGGGGTCCTGTGTAAAATTGAAGGAAGTCTCGGGCGGAAGCTGTTGTTGTCGTTGTCCGGGGACGGGAAGGGGGGGTCCTGAGTAAATTTGGAGGACGTCTCAAGCGGGAGCCGTTGTTGTTGTAGTCCGGGGGGCCAGGGGCACAGTTTGACCACAAAGACTTCCCCTGTCAAAAAACAGGGTGCGACCGTCGAGTGGCACACTTTGACTAGGAAAAACAATATGCACCGGTGAGGGGGGATCAACAATAATTATTCTTCAGGAATGAGAGTTCCACAACAACAACAAAACAACAGCAGCAACAACAGCAGCAACAACAACAGCACAACAACAACATCATCAACAACAACAACGACAATGACAACGACACCGACAACGACAACAACAACAGCAGCAACAACAACAGCAGCAGTATCAACAACAACTACAACTACAACAAACGACAACAACGACGACAAAAGCAGCAACAACTACAGCTACTTATACAACTACAACTACACATGCAACAACTACAACACCACCACCAGCAGCAACAACGACAGCAGCAACAACAACACCGCTTCTCGGCCCCCGAGAGGGTACCAAGACAACCCCGAGAAGCTTCCACGACGCCTCAAGTTTTCCACAGGACCCCCAGAAAGCCCTGAGAGGCCCCCAAGAAACCCCAATTGACCTCAACAGGCGCTCGACAGGTCCCTGTCAGGCCACCAGAAGCCGCCCCCTCCTCCGCGTCCGCATCTCCAGGAGATCCCCCCCACCCTCCCGCCCTCCCCACCACTGTCTTGGAGCCCCCAAGAAAGCTCCAAGAGAGCCCCGAAAGGTCTCCGGGTCACCCGGAGATGGTGCTGCAGTCTCCGGGTAACACGGAGACTCTCGGGACCTTCTTGGAATTTTCTCGGGGCCCTCTTGAGGCTCCCTGAGCGCTCCCAAAACGTCCTGGAGCCCCCCAAGAGAGCGCCAAGAAGGTCCAAAGAGGTCTCCGGGCCACCCAAAACTGGTGCTGCAGCATCTCCGGCGGACCCGGACACTTTTCGGGAACCTCTGAATCATCTCGGGGCCCCCTTAGCCCCAGCAGGCCCCCAAGAGGCCCTTTGAGGGCCCCCCAAGAAGCCCTAAGAAGCCCCAAAGAATTTCAACAGACCTTAAGAGGCGCCCAAGAGGCTCCTTTAGCATGCTCCAAGAAACCCCAGCAGGCCCCAAGAGGCCACCAAAAGGGCTCCCAAGAGGCTCGGCGAGCATCTTAGACATGTACGGACTCGTACAATGTTCGGATACATGGTGACCCCGGCGCCGCGTCTACTTGCGAAGGCTCTCCGCATGGCCCCACGCGGCTTCACAAGAGTTCTGGTGGCCCCCTGGGTTCCCTCTTGGGGCTAGTTGGCCCGCATTGTGGGCCTCGTGGGTCGTCTCGGTGCCATCTTGGGTCGTCTTGGAGCCCTCTTCGGTGGCTTCTTAGGCCGTCTTTGGGCGATCCTGGCGGCCTCTTGGGCCGTCTTGGAGCAGTGGAACCTAGAAAAAGCGAGAAAGCTAAAATCCACCAGAAAACCAAAAGAAAAAGTATGGTTCTGGCCTCGTGCAGCCCCTGAAGGGGTCCTCTTGGAGCCCCCTCGGGGGCGTCTGCAGGGTCTCCTTGGCCGTCTTGAAGCCCTTGCGAGCGTCTTGGAGTGCTCTGGGGCCGTCTCGGAGCCGTCTTGGAGCAGCGCAATCGCACTCGAAGCTCACGCGAAGTCTTTGAATACCTCAGGTTGGAGCCCTCCTGAAGGCCCTCCGAGCCTCAAGCCGAGCCCTGCACGAGGAAGCATGTGTACGAACAGCGGATACATGGTGACCCCCCCGCGTGGAAGCTCAACAACCATCTCTTTGGGGCCTTCTTGGATCTCTCTTGAGCCTTCTTGGGTTGTTTTGAGAGGGCACGACATTTAACAAACATTTAACACAAGACGCTCTCTAATAAGGAGGCGGTTTGTCTCAAATGTGTGTTGAATTATTGGCCATCCTGGAGGCCTCTTAAGTCTCAGAGGGCTCCCGCAGGGGCCCAAGAGGGCCCAGGAGGGCCACAAGAGGGCCCCAAGATGGCTATCCACGAGGGCCAAAACTTGCAACACCAACTCAACACAAGACGCTCTCCAATAAGGAGGCGGTTTGTGTTAAGTGTGCTTTGAATTCTTGGCTCTCCCGGTAGCGTCTTAGGGGCCCTCAGAAGGCCCCCGCCGGGACCCAAGAGGCCCACAAGAGGGCCCCTAAGAAGGCTCCAAGAGGGCCCGAAATGTAGCACAGCACCAGCACCAGCACCACGGGCAGCCCAGGCAGCGCCAGCAGCATCAACGCCAGCAGTAGCAGCAACATCTGTAGCAACAACAACGAGAGAGGCAGCAACGAAAAGATGATTCCAAGATGGACCCAACAGGGATTTTGGAAAGGATCACGAGATTACCCCTGTCGCCCCAAGATGCCCACCCCTGCTAAGCAATGGCCCCAATATGACCCCAGACCAGCCCTGCGGCCCAAGAGAACGCCGAGACGAACCCACTGTGTTCCGACTGAACTAAGGCTGCCGCGCGACCCCAATTTTTATTCCGAGGTGGCCTCGGGACGACCCCACGAGTCCGAGACGACTTCGAAATTGCCCCAAGATGGCCCTTTGGAACCCTAGCTGACCCCAAGATTGTGTCAATATGGCTCCAATGTGACTCCGCTGTGTTTCTTCCTTCTCCCCTTGCTCTTGGACTGGGCCGAAAGGACGGATGGGGGTGCTGGCCCTCCACCCCCTTGTCGTCGACTTCTTCCTCCTCCCCCTCGTCCTCGTCGCTCTCGTCGTTGTCGTCGTCGTCGCTGTCCGCCTGGCCCCGCTGGCCCCATACATAGCAGAAGACCGAATCCCGAACACAAACCGAATCCATCCATTCTCTGATTCTCAAATCCTTGCATGGCATATGTTCGTGTCGTCATGTCTTTTGCTTTGGACGAAGAGCTCTCACATCCTGGTCAAGGACTAGGTTCGGTCGCCATGTCTTTGCTACGGGCGCGGCTGGCACCTGCGGGCGGCTGGGAGACAATGAGCAATTGGTCCATTGCGGGGGTTGCCCCAAGAATGGTCCCGATGGCTCTGTCCCTGCGTCGACCTGTGATCTTACTATCGTGGATGGTTTTCTCCGCTACTGTTTTCCATGTGCTTCAGAGTTTAGCAGTTTCAATGCTCGAATGTCCAGCTGACCTCCACCGCTGCGGAGTCCACCGGCCCAGAGCGTAACCCACTGCTCGGCGTCCTCGCACGGTAATGGTCACCCCCATGGGCGCATACTCCCAGAACGTGCTGTACTTCTCTCTCGGGCCACTCGGCCCCCCGCCCTGCTCCGCCGTCGAGGCGGGTCCGCCTCGTTAGTCTTCTGCCGCCCCTCCCTCCTCCTCCTTTCGACCGAGACCCTCCCGTCCTCTCGATCAGTTCCCTGCCGATCGGATGCCTTCAGGGCCCGAGTGTCAGGGGATGGTCGAGGGTGCTCTTAGGGGGGGGGCCTCCGTCGGGGTAGGGCCCCGAGGAGGAGGAGGAGGAGGAGGAGGAGGAGGAGGAGGAGGAGGAGGAGGAGGAGGAGGAGGAGGGGGAGGAGGGGAAGGAGGAGGAGGAGGCGGGGGGGGGGCGGATGCCTCGGAAGCCTGCCTGGCACACACACACAATGCCATCGGGCGTCGGCCTCCAGGGGCCAGAGGCCAGAGGGGTGCCCTCCCCCCCAGCTCGCGAGCGATATATGACTGCGAGCAACCGAGGTCGACTCCCCCGACGAATGCTGCACGGCGCGCGTTACCCTGAGCCTCGTACAGCAGATTTCCATGGTTCGAGGTAGAGTAGCGGCACGTGTGTCACACCGTGTCACCTCCAACATCCCAGCACACGCGCAAGGCCGAGTCATATCCTATCCTGTCCTACCCTATCCTACCTTCCTCCTCCTCCTCCTTTTCCTCTTCCTCCTCCTCCTCCTCCTCCTCCTCCTCCTCCTCACCCTCCCTCCTCCCTCCTCCCTCCTCCCTCCCTCCTCCTTCTTGTCCTCCTCCCCGTCTTCATCCTCCTCGTCCTCGCCCTCGTGCTCGCGAAGAGCTTCTCAGAGGCCCAAAGCGAAGGCACCGAAGCGGCCAAAGCTCTCGGAGATCGAACCTCGACCCCCCCCCCCCTCGCCTGGGGAGAGCTCGACGCCGCGGCCTGACACAGCTCGTGGGAGATGTCGTTGGCCACCGCCGTGGCCGCCTGCAGGGCGAACACCTGGCGCGAGCGCTGGCCGGGCCGCAGCCTCGCCTTCGCCCCCGCCGTCCGACCCTCCTCCTCCATCCATCCATCCTTCCATCCCTTGATCCCTTGATCCCTTCATCCCTCCTTTTTCTGCGCAGGCCGCTAGGCGATCACACCTGTGGCTTCAGAGGGCCTGCCGTCGGCAGGCGGGCAGGGGCAGGCGCCTTGTCTGTACTCCAAAGGGCCTTTGAAAGCAGGCGGGAGGACAGCAAAGCGAGAAAAAGTCGAAGTGTCGCTCGACCGGGTCGTTGAGGTGCGAGAGCACCAGGGATGATGTCCAGAAGGCCTGGAGGACGGGGGAAACCTGGTCGAGCGTGAAGGGCGGCCTCCACGAGCCCCGCGGAGGCCCCCCTGCAAGTGCAGGCGGCTGACAGGCCGACATCAGGCAAGGTGGAGCAAGAAGCAGCAAACGATGATGGTGGAGACGAGGCGGGGGAGGCTGGACAGAAGCATGGGGGCGGGCGCGAGGGGAGCCCATTACGCCAGGCTCATTCGCTCCGTCTCCGCACCGCCCCCTCTAGCTCGCTTCGCGCGTCTAGCAAGCCACAAGAGATCGGCAGCAGTCACAGCACGAAAGCAAGCAAACATCAACATCACATAGCACCCTGCTCTCCCAGCCCCCCATCCACCAATGTCATCCTTAGGGCTGCAGAACAGGGGGCGAGCGCCTCCTGCGAGCAGCTAGAGCCTGCGCAGGGATGCTGGCCTCAGCAAAGGCCTGCGCGAGCACGCGGGAGATCCCATGCGACCTAGCCGTCAGATGACCAGCTGCAGCGTGTGCACGATGTGTGCAGCGGCATCTCTCTGCCTCCAGATTGAATACCATGCGCTTGCGAACCAAAGCCGCGGGGAGCACGCAGTCTGCCCCAAACATGCAGAGGTCCAGCCGCACAACCTCGAAAGTACCACGCACCAGATTGTCAATGTCGGGCGCAACCTCGCAGAACTTCGTGAAGTCATCATATGGCAGAACCAAGCAGGCTGCCACTCCAGTGACGCGTGCTGCCTCTAGCAATGACCACGATGCTCTGAATTGACTGTTTTCTGCAAGAGGTCGTCGCCGAGAGTGTTCACCAAGTGTAGGTGTGCCCCACGGGTGCAGATCAGCCCTCAAAGACTTGCTCTGCCCATTGCCATCATCCAAACTCTTCCAGGTAACTGTAGACGATGAAAGGATGAGTCCAACAACTTCCCCTTTAGACATATCATTCATCATCTCTCTCACTTGACTCTCACCCATAGTCGTCCAAATTCCTTCGGCGTCACAGATCGGAACACGAATAGGTTCGAAGTGCTGACTCGCAAGGCGGTTGGCCCATTCTAAACTATCAAAGGCCATAACATCTCCAGAACATACATGGTAGAGTTGTTGCCGTCCTGGTATCCCACGTAGCCGTTGTAGCTGTGGTTCTTCTCGATGGGCAGGTAGCTGCACTGCTGGTGGTGCTGGCGGAATGCGTGCTGCGCCACGCCCGCCCCAGTGTATTGTTCGCCGCGCGTGCGGAAAGACTCGACGGTAGTTCTAGCCCTTCTGCATCATCAGCCGCTCGCGAGCGAAGTCCTCCTCCCGGCGTGATTCGGCCACTTCCATATCCAACAAGTCCCCCTGCCCAATCAGGTAACTCAAGCAAGTGTTGTCAAGCCCGCGGGGATGACGGAGGAGGTTCGATCGGTCAGAAAATATAGTGCCGCGCGCACCGCGCTGCGTGCCTCTAGCCGCCCTCTGCACGCCATCGATCGGCTGGTGATCGAGCTGCTGTTTCCTCCACGCAGGCACTGACATAGCCGTCCACCCGCAGCTGTCGCAGATCAGCTTCGTGATCACTGGTTGCTGGTGATGATCGCCCCCTCTTATTCTGAGTAGCTGCTTCTGTCAACGCTCAACCTGCATGGACTCGAGGGCGGCTGGAACCGCGAGGCCCCGAGCTCTCTTGGCTGCGTTCCTGAAGCCCTTGGAATCGTTTTTTTGTTCGCAAAGGGGAACCACTGCCGTAATGTCCACTGCTGTCGGGTGTCATCCGCGTCGCATGCAGTCATCCAAACGAAATCTTGTTCAACCGAAGTCACCCACGAGCTTGGCATCGGCGCTGCCTGGTCGACCGAGGAGTGCTGCAATGCAGCGGGCGCCTCCACGAACAGCGAACTGAAATACATAAGCCTACGCTTACGAAGAAGCAGTTCCAGTGGAACCCTTTTGGCCTGGCACAGAATGTCTAAGTCTGTATGAAAGGTCTCCGTGTCGCGATGGTGTTGACGACCTTGAACGACTCTGTAGGCCTGAAACCTCGCTGCTTCCAACTCATGTAGGAGTGCCTGGGGTATGACCTCCCAGACTTCCACCAGGTAGAGCAAGTGAGTATTGACCATCGTGTCCACTAGGTTGGTTCGGGCAGGTAGTGCCATGCCGTCGAAACGCTTGCGCATCCTTCTGATTGGGGCCAAGGCAACCCGATGCTTCTGCATCGCTCGCGCAGCCCGACAGCCAAGCGTGCCAAAGATGTCCAGCATGGTGCCTAAGTACTTGCACCCACGAACGACATGAACTTTGACCCCCCAGACTTCCGACTCAATCACCTGTTCATGGCTGGCCTCCACTTGTTGTCGCAGTCCAAGGGGGTGTTGAGGTCGATGGGGTGATAAATATACGGGATTTGGCACGCATGTAGTTGGGTGTGAACCCATGCGTCAGCATGCGCTTCTGGACTGCGCCGGCCCCTTCCCCAGAAAGTTCAATCGGGTCGGTCATGGCCGACGGGGCCTGCAGAAACAGCACGTCGTCTACGAAGGACACGTCGACCAAAGGGCTCCTCCCGCGCACCCGGGTAAACCGTCTGAAGCAGCCCTTCTGGGCGAGGCGGTAGGCAGCACCCTGGGGCACGAACAACCTCGTCCACTGCATTAAGTAGTGTGCAGAAGGCTGCATTGAATATTGCGCCCGCCTGTGAGCTGCCTGGTCTCGAGCCTCTCCTTGATCGAGCCACCTGCGGTAAGTTGTCCGCGCCGAAAAGCGCGTCGCGATGGCTCTCGATGAGAAGCGCGAGCAGGTGCGGGGGCGCCCCTAGGTTCGCCAGCGCCGACGGCTGACTCAGAATGAAAGAGACAAGTGGAAGCATACTAATCGGCAGCTCGTGTCCCCGTCCACGTCGGATCTGGTAGGTGGGACCAAACGGCGGACTACCGAGCAGAATGCAGAGACCAGGTCGACGAAGTACAGGACGGCTCCCCGACGTTGGTGCACCGCTGCTTTGAGGAACGCAGACGCAATCTGTACCAAAGCCGATGGACCTTTACGGGGTCTGCCTCCACAATGCGTCGCACGCAGCCAGATATGTCGATACTCGCTGACGCGATCACGTAGAAAACTGCGCCAGCACTTGGCCACTGTACTGTTCAAAAATATAGATCGGGAGCATTCCAGTGGCGAGTAACTGCCAGTGCATTCAAACAAAGGGTACACAGTGCCATGTTTCCACCTACGCAGTCCCTGCTGATGTACACTGGTCTTGAAAAAGAACGAAGTCAACCCAGCATCCTGCGGTGGCTTCGTGTAGCGTGCCATTGGTGACGATAAGACCAACCCTAGATTTAGGCTTGGCAATGGAGACATGCGCGTACCCTCCCTCGTGTTCAAAGAAAGAGGAGGTCAAACAAAAAGGTCGCGTTCGTCAAGTATCATGCGGAGAACTGCCCCTGGGTCATCGTGAACGTCTGGCGTGCAATAGGGAGGGCGGTGTCCCCCTTATCCCTGCGCTGTGAATCTCCCCTATCAGCCTGAGCACGGCCTATCATCGGAATAGTATCTTCCAAGATGAGATTTGGGCTCCATTCCGTGAAAAAAGATCCTCCAGCTCCAGCCACCAATCTTCATGTTGTAACCGGTTATGTCCTGCATGTGGTGCGTGAGTCACGTAGACGTACTCATCTACACCGCAGGTGCAAAACCGCACAACCAAAACTCTCGGGTCGGAATGAACAATGCTGGCATCGGATCGCTGGCATGCGTCTCCCCTGCCTTGTACAACGTTTCGTGGCCCCACAAGGAGCTCCACCGAAGGCCCCAGTGGCCGCGTTCACATGTGCTTCCCCCCGCTCAGCACAACGCTTCGTGGCCCCATAGGGCGCCCCACCGAAGGCCCCAATGGCGGCGATCGCCTGCGCCTCCCCCGCTCAGCATAACGTTTCGTGGCCCCATAGGGAGCCCCACCGAAGGCCCCACTTTGCGACGTTCGCACGGTGTCCCCACTCCGTTTCGGCACACCCCTCACACGTTTCGTGGCCCATATGGAGCGCCACCGAAGGCCCCGATGGCTGCGCCCGCATGCGTCCCCGCCCCATTTCGGCACGCCCATTACACGCTTCGTGGCCCATGAAGAGGTCCACCGGAGGCGATGCCCAAAACAGCAATATCCACAACTGCACATGGTTGGGCCCTTCGCCAAGGTAATGTTTGATCAGCGGTGCTACTGTCGAGGGCAGCTGCCACCCAATGTCAAATAAACGAACTGGCGCAGAGCGGCGAAGAGATGTCCAGAGTTCCTCAGAGCGCGCCCAGCTGCTCGACAGCTGGAAGCACAAGCGATGAGCGCCAAGAGAGAACGCAAGAGAAGACCGTTCCCCAACACATTGCGTCACACCCACGGCAAAACGCACAGGTCGTGTGAAAGACACCGCGCACTTGTCGGACGAGTCCCCGTCCGACCGCGCGCCTGGTGCCACCGAGGGCGCTTCGAAGTCTTCGCGAAGAAGGCCCTCGACAATGTTCCGCGGAGCTAGCGTGGAGCGCACCGCCGACGCGACCTCGCCAGACGGCTCAGCCAGCGCAGCAGGAGTCACGTGCGCGAGCTCCTCCTCCACCCCACCGTCCGACGACCCAACCTCCCTCTCCACCTCGGATCGAGCATCCTTGAGTGCGACAAGCTATGCAGAAACGCTCGAGAGCTCAGGGTGCCCCACACCAAAGAGTTGCCCCCCACGCCCGGACAAAACACTTGCTGGCGGGAACCTTTGGACAAGGCCGCCTCAAATTTCTGAACCGGCCTTCAGATGTGTAGCCCTTAAACTTCGTGCGCGCATGATTTACAAGACTGCCGCTTCAAGTGAAAGCCTGGAGGGGGTGCCCTGTAAGTCCGATCCCACGAGCAACCTCGGGGTTGACTCCTGTGCACCCTCCGTCTTGCGATTGCTTGTCCGCGCGACTGGACTTCAAACAACAGAGGCATCTCCACAAGTACCAGCCCCAATCGTGGGACGCCGACTTCACGCACTTGGTGGCTTTGCCGAACACGGGTAACGTTGTCGAGATCAAGGCGAGGCCGACCTTGTGGTAGCGCTGCTCGAGCTCAGCCGAGTCCGCTACGTGCGCGTGTACATTGATAGCTTCACGCTACTTATACTGACAAAATAGTACCAGCCTGTAACTTTGTATGCCTGAAGCTGAGCTGGGGCTGTGAAAGCCTGCGCAGCGTTGGTGCAGCCAGAATATCCCGTAGACGGCCCAACCAGGAGCTCACTGGTGGTCCCAAGCCCACAGAATTCCCCAGCTTGAAAGGTCTGAACGAGGAAACCAGGCACGGGCCCCGAGTGGGTACACTTAAGAGTCCCAGACTCGTTGTATACAGCCGCCCCTCGGCCAGCCCTAGACACATCTTCACAGCAGGACTCCTGAGACCAGATCCCTCGAAGAACACGTGGCCCTCAATAGCGGTGGACTGCATGTGAGGATCTGCTTCCAAAGTAACTTGCATGCCCCTCTTCAACAAGGATGGGGACTTAGTCACCTGGCAGCGAAACGATGGCCTTAGTAAAAGAAGCCGCTGCTGGTCTCGAGGCCCGATCGCAAGGGCCTGACCAATCAGGGCATGATCGATCACCTCGAGTCTCCCAACGCTAACGGTGGGGCACTGCCAAATACCGTAGAACATTGTGTTTGCGCCCAAGTTGTGCCCAAGTTACACAAACAACACGTAATAGACTCCACGACGTATCCGCAGTCATCGGACCTCGTGGCCGTCCAACATGCACCGCGCGAAAATGCCCTAGCAAACCCCTTCTGAAACGCATTCCACGTCTTAGCCCTCAGCTCCTTGAAGACGACATCATAACATGCTCTAGCGCCGAGACCCAAGGCCCCTCCAGCCTGCCTCAGAAGATGCCTCAACACTCCCTCTCGAAGGAATTCTTTGACCGTGCGGGGACAGGTCGGGGTGAGCGAGATGCTATCCTTCTGATCGGTGGTCAAGCTAGTGATCCAGTCCATGCTCCAGCCGATTCTACCAAGCGAGGCACGAGCAGCACTCATATGGCCCGAAACCTTCGTCCAGGAAACGGAGTCTCCAAGACACACATTCTTCAAAGCATCCCTTAGAGTGGATAGCTCCAAGGCAAATGTGCAATTACTGTCTAGTCGACGAGATCCAGACTTCCTTAGACTACCGGAGCACCGGCGTGATCGCAGCATAGATGCACGGGTCATGCTCTAAGATGCTGATGGTGGTTAGGCTGCCGGGAGGAGGAGGCGGAGGAGGAGGAAGAGGGAGGATGGAGGAGGACGAGGAGGAGGAGGAGGAAGAGGAGTAGGAGGAGGAGGAGGAGAAGGAGGAGGAGGAGCAGGGAGGAGGAGAGAGGAGGAAGATGAGGCTCGGAGGGGGTAGGAGGAGGAGGAGGAGGAGGAGGAGGAGGAGGAGGAGAAGGATTAGGAGGAGGAGGAGCAGGGAGGAGGAGGACGAGGAGGAGGAGGCGGGGGGGCAGAGCCAAGCGCGCAAGCCAGGCCGGCGAAGCGTCACTCGGCCCTCGGGTCACAGCTCGGGCCCCTGCTGGCCGCTCGGGACGAGGTCGGGCACCCCCTGGGACGCCCTCGGCTCGGCGCAGCTGCTGGACAGCACCCCGAGGCCAGACAGCCACTAAGCACTGGATGCCACCTCACTTCGCGCGTCGCGCCCCGCGGCGCACGCTTGTCGTCGCGCCCCCGATATGCCGCCCTGGGGGAGGGCGCCCCCCAACCCGGGCCACGACGCGCGAAGCGCGACTCTCTTCGCACCTCGGGGGGGGGGGGGACCTGGAGCACCGACGACGACGGACCACCGACACGGGGCAGGGCCACTCCTGCGCGCAGCCGACCCGCTGCGCCAGGCGGGCAGGGAGGAAGGCCGCCGGCGCGCGCCGCCGCGGGAGCCTGCAAGAAGTGCGAGTCGTCCTCCGTGAACGGGCGGCTCCCGCCCGCGGGCTCGTCGGCTCCCTCCCGCGGCGCGCCCGGGGGGCCGTCGTCCGGTGGCCATGACGCCGCTGCCGCCGTCGGCCGGAAGGCACCGAGCACTCGTACCCAGGTCACCTAAGCTCGCGTACGGCCACACCGTGGACAGGATGACATCCTTCCAGAACATGAGACCCTCCGCCTGCCAAACTGACGAACTTTCCAGGGTACCCTCCCCCATGATGCACGGGCACATCCAGCAGGCACGAAGAACATTCGAGGGTGCCCTCCCCGAACCGACCTCGATCTTATACCTCGGGCCGCCCGCATCGCGCCCCGCGACGGGCGAATATCTTCGCGCCCTCGCGCCCTCGCGCCGCACCCGCAGAGCAGGGCAGTCGCTCCAGCCCAGGCCGCGGCGCGCGACTCTCTTCGCGCCCCCGCGGGTGGCTTATAGGGACTCGAGCAGTTGGACAGGTCCTCCGCCCTCCTCCTCGAACGGAGCGCCTTCCCCCCAGGAAGAACCGACAGGAGTCCAGGGGAGCTAAACAGTGTTGTTCGTTTTCGCTTTGTCTTCGTTGTCCCTCGTTCTGTCTTCATTCCGCCCCTGCTGCGAAACGAACTCAAAACGGAAACGGTCTACGAAATCGCCAATCACACAATTTGTAGCTCGAGCCCTGTGACTGAAAGCTCTTCGGGGCGCCGCCCTGCTCTCTACGAAAATCCGCCACCGTGCCGCGAGGTACTGAGTGGAGTGCGAAAAGAGGAAGGCGTCTAGGTGGCCTCCCCTTGAAGTGAAAGACATGAAAGTGGACAGATAAGTCACAGACTCATGAAAGCCGCGGCCGAAGAGCAGCGCATCGCTGTGGGACAAGAGACGTCCTCACAGACCAGCTCCCTGAGTGGAGAGCCCTCAGGTCCCTCAGTCCTCCGGCCTCAGTCCTGAGGGTTCTCAAAAAGGGCCCACCGCCAGGAGCTCTGGGCGCTCTCGGAACTTCCGGGCCTTCCCGCACAATTTGTTCCGAGCCAAAAGGGTTCCAAGATGGGCCCAGCCTCCAAGATGGTCCAAGGGCCCCGAGTCGCCCAATGATCGCCCCAAGACGACAGAGATGACCTCAAGACGGCCCAAGAGACCCCGAAGACGCCCCAAGAGAGCCCCACGAGGCCCCCAAACGAGCCCTAAGCGGCAAACATCACCCCAATCCCTCAGGGAAAACGCACATGCTTAGCATTTCCACGCTTTCGACCTTCACAGCGTCCGAAACGGCCCCAGATGCCCCCAAGACCGCCCAAAGACGGCACAAGCGGCCCGCTTAGGTCCCACGATGGCTCAAAATGGCCCCAAGCTGGCCCAAGACGGCACCCAAGACGGCCCGAGAGGGCCCCAAGAGGGGGAACTCAAACTGAGAGTTCGAGCCCTTCGCCTCAAGGGGACCAACGAGACTGCCAGCAGGCCCACAATAAGCTTCAAAAGGTCTCCAAACAGCAGCCGGAGGCCTCAAAACTGCATCCAAGATACTCCCAAGAGGATTCTCAGAGACGCCAACAGGCATCCAAGAGGCCACTGACCCACAACCCAGGCACCGTGACACGATGGGCCGAAGGCCAGTAGATCCGCCGCCCACAGTTGATTTATCACAGGGGTGCCTGGCGCGCTGGATCCTACGGCTTGGCTTTTGTTCTTTTCCAAAAGAACTCCTCTGGAGCTTCGGTCCATGCCGCTGGCCACCCAGAAGGCCCCGCCGCTGCGCAACCAACGTCTCCAAGAAGGCCTCGATGGCATCCAAGACGGCCAAGATGGCCCAATATGGCCTCTAAGTTCGCCCAGTATGGTCCAAGATAGCCTCCAAAGCGGCCCAAGTGGGTCCCAGATGCCTCGAAGTCCTTTCCAGAAGCCGCCAAAACGGCCCAAGACAGTCTACGAAGCCCCTAACAAGCCTCTAAGACTGTCCGTGTCTTTAGGTGTTTGAAGGATTTGGGCATTTGCTTCTTTCCGGCCTGTTCATTTCCCAGATGGGGTGTCTGGCGCACTAAGGTTCAATCGGTTTCTGTTTTTTCAAGACTCCCCCTGTGGCTTCGGCCGATGCCACTGGCCACCCAGAACCACCCCCAATTTGCTAGATGGCTGCCTTTCAAATCGCCTCCAAGACGGCCAAGATGGCCCCATATGGCCTCCAAGATGCCTCCAGGACATTTAGAGATACAGTAGCCAAATATGTCCTCCAAGACAGTCCCAAGGCGGGCCAAGAGTCCCCCAAGATGCCCCAAGAAGGCTCCAAGAGGACCTCCAGGAAACCAAATATTATGTATTGTCTTTATCCCCGGCGGAGCCGGGTGAAATTCCGTGCCCGCCGGCTGACTGATGACTGACTGAACGTCAGGGGACAGCTCGGGAGACACATTTCAAACGGCCCGCGGGAGCGCAACCCGGCGGCGCAACCGCAACCGCGACCGGGCGACACATTTCAAAGCGCCCGCGGGAGCGCGCAACCGCAACCGCAACCGCAACCGGGCGACACATTTCAAAGCGCCCGCGGGCGCGCAACCGCAACCGCAACCGGGCGACACATTTCAAAGCGCCCGCGGGCGCGCAACCGCAACCGCAACCGGGCGACACATTTCAAAGCGCCCGCGGGAGCGCGCAACCGCAACCGCAACCGCAACCGGGCGACACATTTCAAAGCGCCCGCCGCGCGCAACCGCGCGCAACCGCAACCGCAACCGCAACCGGGCGACACATTTCAAAGCGCCCGCGCGCGCAACCGCAAACCGCAACCCGACATTTCAAAGCGACACATTTCAAAGCCGCGGGAGCGCGCAACCGCAACCGCAACCGCAACCGGGCGACACATTTCAAAGCGCCCGCGGGCGCGCAACCGCAACCGCAACCGGGCGACACATTTCAAAGCGCCCGCGGGAGCGCGCAACCGCAACCGCAACCGGGCGACACATTTCAAAGCGCCCGCGGGCGCGCAACCGCAACCGCAACCGGGCGACACATTTCAAAGCGCCCGCGGGAGCGCGCAACCGCAACCGCAACCGCAACCGGGCGACACATTTCAAAGCGCCCGCGGGCGCGCAACCGCAACCCAACAACCGCAACCGGGCGACACATTTCAAAGCGCCCGCGGGAGCGCGCAACCGCAACCGCAACCGCAACCGGGCGACACATTTCAAAGCGCCCGCGGGCGCGCAACCGCAACCGCAACCGGGCGACACATTTCAAAGCGCCAGCGGGAGCGCGCAACCGCAACCGCAACCGCAACCGGGCGACACATTTCAAAGCGCGCGCGGGCGCGCAACCGCAACCGCAACCGGGCGAGGAGGAGGGGGACGACGACGACGACGACGACGACGACGACGACGACCAGGACGACGACGACGACGAGGGCGAGGAGGAAGACTGAGCAACAGCAGGGGGATGGGCTGGGGGGGGGCAGGGGGCGGGGGAAGACAAGGAGAAGAAGGAGGAGCCACTGGCGGAGGGCCCGACGACGAGCCCCTGCGTGGCCCGCGGTTCTCCGCCGGGACATTGCAGCGGGGAATCCCTATTCCACGCTGCTGCCTTTGATTGTTTGAATGATTGTAGCGTTCTCGCCTTTCCGAGCTTACGACGATCCAAGACGGCCCCATAGGCCCCAAAGATCGCACCAAGACGGCCCAAGCGGGCCCCAAAACGGCCCCATAGTTCTCCAAGACGACCCTAAAGCGCCCAAAAGTGGACCCACGACTGCCCACAGAAGGCCTCAAGACGGCCTCCAAAGGCCAAGAGGTCCCGCAGAGGCCGCAGAGGCCTCCAAGAGGCCCCTGGTAGGCTTCCAAAGAGGTTCCTCAGAGGCCCCCAAGAGGCTCCCAAGAAGCTCCCCAGAGGACACAAGAGGGCCTTGAGAGACCTCATTTTCTTCCTCCTCCACCTCCTCCTCCCCTTCCTCCTTCGCCTCCCCCTCCTCCTCCTTTCTCTTCCTCCGCCTAGTGTTCCCACAAAGGGTTCCACAGCGGTTGGGGGAGCACATAGTCCAGTAGCTTGGCCAGACGTTTGGTCGCATGTGCGTTTCCAAGAGGCAGGGGGCGGCGGTGATTCGCCGTAGGCGTCTTGGATACGGTCAGAACTAGGATATAATTCGCCGGCCTAACGGGCCAGAGGCGTGCTAAGATCTCCGGTAACTGGTTAACAATAACTCTATACTTCGCGCGCGCAGAGCGGCCCCTGGGGGTCTCCGGCCGGAAAGTACCCCAGCAAGGTCCCGGGACACTTCCGGCAAACTCAGATCAGAGATGGTTTTCCTCCTGGGTGCGGCCTTCCACGCTCCCTGGAGCGCGCCAAGAGGGCCCCAACAGGCTTCCAAAACAGTCCAAGAGGGTTCCGAATCACCGAACGATCGGCCCAAGACGCCCAACACGGCCTCAAGACGGCCCCAGAAGCTTCCAAGACGTCCCAAGAGAGCCCCGACCCTTTCCAAGAGAGCCCCGAGAGGCCAAAATCATTGATTTCCATAGGGGTTTCAAGGTTTTTGGCTTCCTCGCCTTTTCGCGTTTCCGACGCTCCAAGACGGCCCAAGAAGCCTCCAAGACCACCCCAAGACGGCCCAAGAGGCCTCCAAGAGAGCGCCAATACCGCCCAAGAGGGCCCCACGACAGCCCAAGAGGCGCCCAAGACGGTCCAAAAGGACCCCAAGAGGGCCCCAAGAGGGGCCCAACATGGAGACCACGAACCGAGAATCCGAGCCTTTCGCTCCAAGAGGCCTCCTGGAGGCTCCAAGAGGCCCCCAAGAGGCCCCAAAAGGCGACAAGGGGCCCGAAATAGACCCCAAGAGGCTCGACAACGACTCTCGAGTCTCCAAGAAACCCTCGAGATGCATCCAACGAGATCCCAATGAACGTCCACGAAGCCTCAGAGCGCCAAAACCATTGATTTCCATATGGTTTTTCAAGGTTTTTGGCTTCCTCGCCTTTTCGCCTTTCCGACGCTCCAAGACGGTCCAATAAGCTTTCAAGACCACCCCAAGACGGCCCAAGAGGCCTCCCAGAGAGGCCCACGACCGTCCAAGAGAGCCCCACGACAGCCCAAGAGGCGCCCAAGACGGTCCAAAAGGACCCCAAGAGGGCCCCAAGAGAGGCCCAACATGGAGACCACGAACCGAAAATCCGAGCCTTCCGCTCCAAGAGGCCTCCTGGACGCCCCAAGAGGCTCCTAAGAGGCCCCAACAAGCGACAAGGGGCCCGAAGAATGCAAAAAGGAAACTGCAGAATGTTGTCTTGTTCCCTGCGATCGTATTCACGAGCTGCCACCTTCCGAAACAGAAGGTTCAGGCGGGCAAAGAATGGTTCCCGCCTGCGAAATCACCCAAAGCCAGCCATCCATAAACAAAAAAACGACCCAGCAGCACCCCATTGACAACGATCACACGGGCACTCGACAGCCGTGCACCAATACGGGGCGGCGGAATGAGCGAAGCGATTAAATAAAATCCTTCAGAACATGAGACCCTCCGCCGGCCCAAACTGAAGAACATTCGAGGGGGTGCCCTCCCCCAGGATGCACAAGAACATACAACAAGTACGAAGAAGATTAGGGAGGGCCCCCTCCCCGAACCGACCTCGATCTTACACTTCGGTCTGGGTTCCCTCCCTTCTAGGAGCGGGGAGGGGCAGGAACGAGGTGGACCCGTGCCATCGCTCGGACGTCTGCTCCACGCGCACGCTTCGAGCTCGTGCGTGCTACTCGCCCTGCTCGATGACCAGAGATGCTCCTCGAGGGCCCTCGCCGGGAGACACCGGAGGCCGCTCTGGGCCCCTGTGCTCCCCACGCCGGGGGTGAGGATGACGGTAGTTCCACAGAAACTCCCTCAAATCAAATTAACGTGTCGAGAATATGCCATGCCTGCTGTGCCCTGGACGACCGTCACGTCCGAGCGATGCCGCGGACCTGTGTGGGTGCCTCCTGCCGGGCCCCATCGCGGGTGGACGGCCGAGGACCTATGTTCGCTGGGGGCGGCCTCGGCGCCCCCGGGGGCCTCCAGAGGCCTCCAGACCTCCGGAGACCTCTGGGCGATGGCGGTCATCCCAAGTACACCCTGCGAAATGCTTAAGAAATCATGGGTTAAGAAATTCATAGTCTCAGAACTTGAATAACAACCCAACGTTTCCATTAAAACCTGAAGATTTACATGGAAACGCTAAGAATAATCGAGACTCTGGCCGAAAATTTAGGTTTTCTTAAGCATCGCCTAAGGTGTAGGGCATCGCCTGCAGAATCGATTTACCCCAGACTCGATTTGGACTCGCCGAATCTACCAGGAGATCTGTGTATTGTTCGCATATCTAGGAACATTCCTCGCATTTTCCCTGGACTCGACCAAAAAAAACAACAATTTGGAGGTAAGCCTATTCTGTAGTCGATCCCCTATTCTGTCATTATGGTCGCCGCCCTGCTCGTCTTCGTCGCCTTCGTCGTCGCTGCTGCCGCCTCCGGCAGCGCACCTGGACGGCCGTTCCAGGCCATCACGCCGTCGTCGTCGTCGTCGTCGTCGCCGCCGCCGCCGCCGCAACCGGTGTTGTCGTCATCTCCGCAGCAGCCGTCATCCTCGCGGCCACCGCAGACGCTGCCGTCGCCGTAAACGCCGTCGCCACCACCGTCGTCGTGGCCGCCTCTTGTGGCGCGCCCGGGAGGCCGTCCAGGGCCATCACGCCGCCGCCGGTCTTATTGATGAGCTGCACCACGCCGATGACGTCGCCCTTCCTCACCTGAAGGGGGGGGGACTAATGCCTAGACGTTCCTGCCCCTCTTGGGGCCTCGGGTCGGCGCCACACTGATGGGCCCTCAGGAAGGCGACGATTCCCTGCAACACCACGGAAAAAGTTGCGCATCCCTCCCACTTCCCCGCGGGCTGCCGATCTATCAATTACCTGGGTCACCTAACTTCTCGCATCGCGCCCCGCGATGCGCGACCCGCGGTCACCTTCGCATCCTCGCGAGGCCACCTTGGAGAAGGGCGCCTTTCCAACCTGAGCCGCGCTGCGCGAAGCGCGATCATCTTCGCGCCCCTTGGGGTGACCTGGATGACCGCATGCAAACCTCGGTGGCAACCGATCAGGGAGCCTCCAGAGGCCTCTGTTGGCGACGCGCACAAAGGGGTATGGGGAAGGGGGAAAGGCTGCCTCTGCGTCGCCTTGCGTGCCTGCGCGGCTGCTCCGCGTCGCCCAGGCGGATCTGTCACCTCCTCTCCTCTCCCCTCCCCTCCCCTCCCCTCCCCTCCTCCTCCTCTCCTCCTCCTCCTCCTGCTGCTCCTCCTCCTCCTCCTCCTCCTCCTCCTCTTCCTCCTCCGCCTCCTCCCCTCTCCCCTCCACTTCCCTTCACCACCGAGAGAACGGCACCCACCTCACCACCGAGCCTCCACGGGCCCCAACCCCGGGCCAAGCCGTGAGGTGCAGCTGGCCTCACGGCCTGGCCATGAGCGGGTGTGCGCCGAGATCTGCCCCGAGATGGCCCCGTGGCCCCGTGGGCCACCCACCTTCGCGCCTTCGCGCCAGGCGATGCGCGACCATCTTCGCGCCTTCGCGCCGCCGCCCTGGAGAACGGTAGCTCTGCGGCCCAGGCCGCGACGTGCGAAGCGCAATTGCCTTTGCGCGACTGGGTGACCGTCGGTTTCCCTCCCTCGACTGCCTTCAGCGGAGCGCACAGAATGTTCCTCGTCCTGAAGCCAGTCTTCCTGTCGACCGCCTTGTTGAAGCGGACGTCCGCGTACGCGTCGTTAATGATGAGCGCCTCGCCCGTCGTGGCGACCTGCCCAGCGATGCCGGCGTTAATGGGGATCCGCAGCTCCTCGTTTGTCGAGTTCACCGTGGAGTAGAGCTCCTGCCAGAAGATGGGGCAGCGGCACGAGCATGAACCCTCTGGAGGTCCGCGCGCACCTCTTCCACACACCTCTGGCCAGGGCCCGCGCTGGACCCCTCACCACAGCTCTGGCAGCGCCTCTGGCGCCGCCCCTGGAACGGGCTCCACGCCGGAGGATGTGGACGCTCGAAACAGGGACGGAAAGCATGGGCACGATGACCAACAACAAATGCTGTCCAAAACCGAAAGCGGCCGTTGTTGGGCAGGCGGCCGTCTGTCTCAAATGCACAGCGTCCGCGGCGACCTGGACAGCAAGTCCTGTTTGAAGTCGGCAGCATATGCTGTCGGTCTTCGTACCTATTCTGTCCCAACCCATTCCGATCGTACCGAGGGGAAGGAACTGTGCGGAAGGGGTCCAGCGCCGACCCTGGAAGTATGCGCGGACCTCTGACGGTTGATGCGCGTGTGCCGTGTGCGGTTGGTCGTCTGCTGCCGCGGAGAGTTAGAAGCTCCTGCCGCGCGGCGTCCACCAGGAAGACCGACGCCGCCTCCGCGCCGACTAGCTTCTTGGCCTCGCCGACTATCTGGCGCAGGATGTACTCCTGAGAGAAGAGAAAACAGCATGAGCATGAATTCTTGCAGGTCTGAGCGGATTCCTTGGATCCGTGCTCGACCCCCTTCCCTGGTGCGCGGGGCGTGCCGGAGGCGCCGCCAGGGGCGGCCAGGCCCGATCCGAGGAGCCCGTGAGAACCTCCCGCATCTATGCTTCTGCAATTTTTCGGACGTCTCGTCGGGCCCACGGAGGCCCCTGGAGGATTCCAGGGGATTCGAGAAGCCCCAACAAGCCACGATTGGAAAACTGCCAACTTCAACTTTCCGACGAGGCTATGACAAGCAACAAATCGGATCAGGGTAAATCGGGGATCTCTGAGATACAGCGGATCTGGAAGATTTCTCGGGCGCCGCGGCCGTTCCAGAGCGCTCTGGAACGCTCTGAGGGCGTTCTGGACCGCTCCGTAACGATTCATCCTGGTCACAGCCCTGTCCAGAACTACCGCGCTGAGGGGAAAGAGATCCCACGCTGCAGAGCACTGGCCCGGAGGGAGGGCGGTTTCTTGCAACGTTGCCTCCCGTTGCCGCTTTGTCGCCTCTAGCTTGCACCACGTATGCTGCGCTACGCAGCTTGCGTCACATAGCCTGCACCACATAGCCTGCACGTCCACTATGCAAAAACCCGCTGTCTGGGGCCCAAGCTGGCTACACGTCGGTCGGAAGAAGTCGGTAAAACATTAAGTAGGAAGGCGGATAAAGCAGAATGGGTTAGGCCCTCCGAGAAAATCCGCCGGCCCCGACCAGTTTCCAGTGTGATAGCTCTACTGTCTGCTTACTACGGCAGATGCAGGTTCCAGTTCCCAATTTGATAGTTCTACGTTCTGCTTCCTACTGTAAATTGTTGAGGTCCGCGCGAGGGGGGGGGCCGAAAAGAACCCGGTTACCACGCCCGGATCGAGTGCTCTGAATTTCTGTGGGGCTGTGGGACACGTGAAAATACGCAAAAGTCGCTCAACTTTCGCAAAATATGCCGTCTTCGCGTCCCCGAGGCCATTCACCCTCTTCCGAAGCCACAAACCCTTGTAAATTAAACCGTACTTGCGTCCCCGAGGCCACAAAGCATCGAGAATTATACCATACTCGCGTCCCGGAGGCTATCCGCCGGCACCCTTGCAGGGCCATCAGGCTGCGAGGCTTAGGTTTGCTTCTCCCTGCGCCAGTTCCAATTTCCAGTTTGTAATGTTACAATATTGCTTTCTGCTTCCTACTGTAAATTGTTACTGTCCGCGCGAGGGGGTGGACCGAGAGGCGGGGGGAGCCGAAAACCACCCTGACTGGCGTCCCGCAAGGAGGTTCTCAAAATTTCCGGGGGCCGTGGGACACGTGAAACTACATGAGATTCGCGCTCCCGACGCAAGATTACATTGTACATTGCATTGTGTCTGCGCTCCGAGGCCAAGACCCCTCGTAAATTACATTGTGTTCGCGCCCCCGAAGCCACGATCCCTCGTCAAATACGCCACACTCACGCTCCCGAGGCTAAGATCCCACGAAACTTACACCACCAAGAGGCCGTCAAGAGACCCCAAGAGGCACCCAAAACACACCCAAAAGGCCTCCAAGAAGCCCCAAAGATACCCCACGAGGCCCCAAGAGGCCCCCAAGAGGCGCCCAAACCGCCTCCAAGAGGCCCCCGAAAGGCTCCCCACGACACCCCAACACATATACAAGAGGCTTCAGACCCACGACCCAGGCACGGTGGCGGAATGGGCCGAAGGCAACTAGGATCCGCCGCCCCCTGCTTGCAGGGGTGCACGGCGTGCTGGACGTTTCAGGTTTTGGTTTTGGTTCTTTTTCTAAAAGAACTCCCCAGTGGGCTTCGGCCCATCCCGCCGGCCACCCGTAATTTTCCCAAAATCCGTCTGTCAATGCCTTTGTTGCCCCAACTTGGCCCAAGATGGCCTCCAAGACGGCCAAGATGGCCCAAGATGGCCTCCAAGATGCCTCCCAGACGGCCAAGATGGCCTCCAAGACGGGTAAGATGGCTCCAAGATGCCTCCAAGACGGCCCAAGATGCCCTCCAAGACGGCCAAGATGGCCCCAAGATGCCTCCAAGATGGCCCAAGAGGCCTCCAAGACGTTCTCCAGGAGAGCCCGAAGAGGCCAAAATCATTGGTTTTCCTTAGGTTTTTGAAGGTTTTTTGCGTTTTCTTCTTTTCGGCCTTCCGACGGCCCAAGAGGCCCCCAAGATCGCCCAAGAGGCCTCCAAGAAGGCCCTATGACGGCCCAAGGGCCCCCCAAGACGGCCCCAAGAGCGCCCCAAGACGGCCCAAGAGGCCTCCAAGACGCCCAACATGGCCTCCAAGACGGCCCTGAAGCGCCCCAAGAGGGCCCCAAGACGGCCCAGAGAGGCCCCCAAGACGGCTCCAGACGGCGTCAGACGGACCAGGAACGCCCTAAGACGGCCAAAGAGACCCCCAGGAAGCCCCCAAAGGCCCCCAAGAGGCCCAAGGAGGCCCCCAAGATGCCTCCAAGAGGCCTCGAAGAGGCCCCCAAGAAGCCCCCAACAGACCCCAAGGGTGCCCCAAGAGACTCCTAACAACCCTCATCCTCCTACTCTATTTCTTCCTCTTCCTCTTCCTGTTCATAATCATTCTCTCCCATGTGTTCCCCGAAAGCTTTCCAAACCGACTCGGGGAACTCATGGTCCGATAGCTTGGCCAAGCTCTAGTCCAACTTTCGGCCACATCGGCGTTTCCAAAAAGGCAGGGGGCGGCGGTGATTCGCCGCAGGCGTCTTCGATACGCCGCCCCCTGCTCGCAGGGGTGCCAGGCGTGCCAAATCCTATCGGTTTTGGTTTTGGTTCTTTTTCCAAAAGAACTCTCCCAGTGGGTTTCGGCCCGTCCCGCCAGGGTCCCGGGATTTTTTCCACGGCCCCAATTTTCTGCCTCAGACGGCTCCAAGACGGCCTCCAAGATGGCCAAGATGGCCCAAGATGGCCTCCAAGATGGTCCAAGATGGCCCCAAGTCCGCCGAAGATGGTCCAAGGCGGTCTCCAAGACGGCCCAAGAGAGTCCAAGAGGGCCCCAGACGGGCCAAGAGGCCCCCCAGATGCCTCCCAGACGGCCCAAGAGGCCTCCAAGAGGTCCTCCAGGAGGGCCCGAAGAGGCAAAAAAACATTGGTTTTCCTTAGGTTTTTGAAGGATTTTGGAATTTGCTTCTTCTCGGCATTCCGACGGCTCAAGGCGGCCCAAGAGGCCCCCAAGATCTCCCAAGAGGCCCCCAAGAGGGGCCCATGACGGCCCAAGTGGCCTCCAAGATGGCCCCAAGAGGGCCCCAAGACGGCCCAAGAGGCCTCCAACACGCCCAAGATGGCCTCCAAGACGCCCAAGATGGCCTCCAAGACGGCCCCGAAGCGCCCCAAGAGGGTCCCCGTTGACCCAGAACGGCCCCCCAGACGGCTCCCGACGGCGTCAGACGTGCCAGGAACCCACCAAGACGGCCGAAGTTGGCTCGAAGCTGGCCCAAAAGGGCCCAAGAGGCCCCTAAGAGGGCCTCCAGGAAGGCCAGAAGAGGCCAAAAACATTGATGTTCCTTAGGTTCTTGACGGATTTTGACATTTCCTTCTTTTCGGCCTTCCGACGGCCCGAGACGGCCCAAGAGCCCACAGAGATCGCCGAAAGTTCGCCCAAGAGGCCTCCAAGACGGCCACGATGACCTTCAAGACGCCCACGTGTTCCCCGAAGGCTTTCCAAACCGATTCGGGGAACACTCCAAGATGGCCTCCAAGATGGCCAAGATGGCCTCCAAGATGGTCCAAGATGGCCTCCAAGTCCGCCCAGGTTGGTCCAAGACGGCCTCCCCCTTTGCTTTAGCAAAGGGGTGCCTGGCGTGCTAGACCCTCTCGATTTTGTTTTTTTTCCAAAAGAACTCCCCCTGAGGCTCCGGCGCGTCCCGCCGGGGTCCCGGGAGAATTGCCAAGGACCTCAATTCCCCGAAAACGGCCCCAGACGGGCCAAGAGGCCCCCCAGAGGCCTCCCAGACGGCCCAAGAGGCCTCCAAGAGGTCCTCCAGGAGGGCCCGAAGAGGCCAAAATCATTGATTTCCATAAGTTTTGGAAGAATTTTGGAACTTGCTTCTTCTCGGCATTCCGACGGCTCAAGACGGCCCAAGAGGCTCCCGAGATCGCCCAAGAGGCCCCCAAGAGGGCCCCATGACGGCCCAAGTGGCCTCCAAGATGGCCCCAAGAGGGCCCCAAGAGGCCTCCAACACAACCAAGATGGCCTCCAAGACACCCAAGATGGCCTCCAAGACGGCCACGAAGCTGGCCCAAAAGGGCCCACGAGGCCCCCAAGAGGGCCTCCAGGAAGGCCAGAAGAGGCCAAAAACATTAATCCCACCAGCCCTCTGGGCGTCGGTGGTTTAGAGCGTTTCCTCTTCCACCCCTCCCTCTTCCCCTTCGGGGAGGGGTTTACCCCTCCCCCTACCCCCTCCCCACTGACCTGGACAGGAGGGGCGGGGAGCGGTCAGAGCGTCCAAAACGGCCTCGGCGAGGAAGCCAAAATCATTGATGTTACTATGGTTTGGGCCCCATTTTGGCCTTCTGAGGGGGCAACGCTAATTAAAGCTCCCCTCTTCTTTGATCGATTTCCTCCACGATGGCCGCAAGAGGCCCCCAGGATGCCCCAAGAGGCCGCAGGATGGCCCCAAGATGGCCCCAAGAGGCCCCCCAAGAGGCCCCCAGGAGGCCCCCAAGAGACCCCCAAGAGGCCCCAAGAGACCCCCCAGAGGCACCCAAGGTGCTCCCAGAGGCCCCAAGATGGCCCCAAGAGGCCCCAAGAGGCCCCCAGGAGGCCCCAAAGAGGATCCCGAACGGCCCACAGAGGCCCCCCCGAGGCACCCAAGACGCCGAAAAGCCCCTCAGGACGACCCTCTACTCGCCTGGGCGTCGTTTCTGGGCGTCTAGAATTTTCCTTAGGTTCTCGACGGATTTTGAGACTTCCTTCTTTTCGGCCTTCCGACGGCCCGAGACGGCCCAAGAGCCCCCAAAGATCGCCGAAAGTTCGCCCAAGAGGCCTCCAAGACGGCCACGATGACCTTCAAGACGCCCACGTGTTCCCCGAAGGCTTTCCAAACCGATTCGGGGAGCACTCCGAGATGGCCTCCAAGATGGCCAAGATGGCCCAAGATGGCCTCCAAGATGGTCCAAGATGGCCTCCAAGTCCGCCCAGGATGGTCCAAGACGGCCTCCAAGACGGCCCAAGAGAGTCCAAGACGGCCCAAGACGGCCCAAGAGGCCCCCCAGAGGCCTCCCAGACGGCCCAAGAGGCCTCCAAGAGGTCCTCCAGGAGGGCCCGAAGAGGCGAAAAACATTGATTTTCCGTAGGTTTTTGAAGGATTTTGGAATTTGCTTCTTCTCGGCATTCCGACGGCTCAAGGCGGCCCAAGAGGCCCCCAAAATCGCCCAAGAGGCCCCCAAGTGGGCCCCATGACGGCCCAAGTGGCCTCCAAGATGGCCCCAAGAGGGCCCCAAGACGGCCCAAGGGGCCTCCAACACGCCCAAGATGGCCTCCAAGACGCCCAAGATGGGCTCCAAGACGGCCCCGAAGCGCCCCAAGAGTGCCCCCCGTTGGCCCAGAAAGGCCCCCAAGACGGCTCCAGACGGCGTCAGACGTGCCAGGAACCCACCAAGATGGCCGAAGTTGGCTCGAAGCTGGCCCAAAAAGGGCCCACGAGGCCCCTAAGAGGGCCTCCAGGAAGGCCAGAAGAGGCCAAAAACATTGATGTTCCTTAGGTTCTTGACGGAGTTTGACATTTCCTTCTTTTCGGCCTTCCGACGGCCCGAGACGGCCCAAGAGCCCCCAAAGATCGCAGAAAGATCGCCCAAGAGCCCTCCAAGACGGCCAAGATGACCTTCAAGATGCCCACGTGTTCTCCGAAGGCTTTCCAAACCGATGCGGGGAACACATGGTCCGATGGCTTGGCAGGTCTGGCCTCAACGTTCGACCACATAGGCGCTTCCAAAAAGGCAAGGGGCGGCGGTGATTCGCCGTAGGCGTCTTCGATCCGCATCGCAGGGGTGCCTGGCGTGCCAGATCATATGGTTTTTGGTTTTGTTTTTTTCCAAAAGAACTCCCCCTTGGGCTTCGGCCTGTCCCGCCTGGGCCGCGGAAGGCGCTCAATTTCCCAACAAATCCTCAAAGACGGCTCAAGATGGCCTCCAAGATGGCCACGTCGGCTCAAGATGGCCACCAAGATGGGCCAAGGTGGCCTCCAAGTCCGCCCAAGATGGTCCAAGAAGGCCTCCAAGACGGCCCAAGAGAGTCCAAGACGGCCTAAGACGGCCAAAGAGGTCCCCCAGAGGTCTCCAAGACGGCCCAAGAGGCCTCCAAGAGGTCCTCCAGGAGGGCCCGAAGAGGCCAAAAACATGGATGTTCCTTAGGTTTTTGAGGGATTTGGGAATTTGCTTCTTCTCGGCATTCCGACGGCTCAAGACGGCCCAAGAGGCCCCCAAGATCGCCCAAGAGGCCCCCAAGAGGGGCCCAAGATGGCCCCCAAGACGCCGAAAATGGCCTCCAAGACGGCCAAGATAGCCTCCAAGATGCCTCCAAGACGGCCAAGAAGGCCTCCAAGACGGCGAAGATGGCTCCAATATGCACCCAGGACGGCCCCAGATGGCCTCAAGATGGCCTTAGACTGCTCAATAGGCCCGCAAGAGACCTCCAAGACGGCCCAAGAGCCCTTTCGGGTCTTCCTGGAGGAGCTCTTGGAGGCCTCTTGGGGGCCTCTTGGACAGTCTCAGGCCATCTTGGTCCATCTTGGGCCGTCTTGGAGGCTTCTTGGACGAACTTGAAGGCATCTTGGACTCTCTCGGGCCGTCTTGGAAGCCATCTTGGACCATCTTGGGCGACTTGGAGGCCATCTAGGGCCATCTTGGAGGCCATCTTGGGCCAACGTGACCATCTTAGAGACCATCTTGAGCCGTCTTGGCCAAAATCGAAAGGATTCAGCACGCCAGGCCCCTGTGATGCACCCAAGGCGACCCCAGATGGCCTCAAGATGGCCTTAGACTGCCCAAAAGGCCCGCAAGAGGCCTCCAAAACGGCCCAAGAGCCCTCCAAGACGTCCTCCAGGAAGGCCCGAAAGCTCGGAAACCACCTGGTTTGTTAGCGCTCGCCCGATTCCGTGTTCCCCGAAAGCTTTCGAAACCCACTCGGGGAACGCGTGGCCCGATAGCTTGGCCAAGCTCAAACCCAACTTTGGCCATGCAGGCGCTTCCAAAAAGGCAGGGGGCGGCGGTGATTCGCCGTAGGCATCTTCGATCCGCCGCCCCCTGTTGGCTTGCTGCAGGGGTGCCCGGCGTGCTAGATCCTTTCGATTTTGGTTTTGGTTCTTTCCCAAAAGAACTCCCCACGGGGCTTCGGCCGATCCCGCCAGGGTCCCGGAAAGACCCCGACACCACCTCAACGACCGCAAAACATTCTCCACGACGGCTCAAGATGGCCTCTAAGATGGTCACGTTGGCCCAAGATGGCCTCCAAAATGGCTCTAGATGGCCTCCGAGTCGCCCAAGATGGTCCAAGATGGCTTCCAAGACGGCCCGAGAGAGTCCAAGATGCCTTCAAGTTCGTCCAAGAAGCCTGCAAGACGACCCAAGATGGCTCCAAGATGGCCTAAGACTGGCCAAAAGGCCCCCAAGAGGCCTCCAAGACGTCCTCCAGGAAGGCCCGAAAGGGCAAACATCATTGATTTGCCTTGGGTTTTTTGAAGGATTTGGGCACTTTTTCTTATCAGCTCTCCGACGGCCCAAGACGGCCCAAGAGGCCCCCAACATTGTCACAAGAGCGCCCAAGAGGCCTCCAAGATGGCCACATGACAGCCCAAGAGGCCCCCAGGAGAGCCCCCCAAAGAGCCCAAGACGGCCCAAGATGGCCCCGAAGACGCCGAAGATGGCCTCCAAGACGGCCAAGATGGCCTCCAAGATGCCTCCAAGACGGCCAAGAAGGCCTCCAAGACAGCGAAGATAGCCCCAAGTTGCACCCAATACGGCCCCAGATGGCCTCGAGATGGCCTTAGACTGCCCAAAAGGCACGCCAGAGGCCTCCAAGACGGCCCAAAAGCCCTCCAAGACGTCCTCCAGGACGCTCGAAAGCTCGGAATCCACCTGGTCCGATAGCTCGCCCGACTCCGTGTTCCCCGAAGGCTTTCGAAACCCACTCGGGGAACGCGTGGCCCGATAGCTTGGCCAAGCTCAAACCCAACTTTCGGCCACGCAGGCGCTTCCAAAAAGGCACGGGGCGGCGGTGATTCGCCGTAGGCACCTTCGATAACGCCAACGTCTCCATATGCGCCGATGATTCCTATCCGCCCCCGCATGCTGTTCCCAGATGCGCCAAGGCAGCGCCGAGACGCACCGACGCGACTCTGTACTATTCCATTTTGATAGAGAGGGGGCCGGCGGCAGGGGCGAAGCCCTTACGGATAACGAAACACAGCAAAAACACATCGGCTCTTGCAGTAGGAAGGCCCTTGAAGTAGATTGGGATCTGGGATTCCAAGAATACCGAGTTCCAACGACCGGCGTATAACGCTTTCCTTTTCGAGGCTCCACGCTGTGGTCGGCGTTCACCAGTAGCGAGCTCTGCATCAGCGCGTCCAGCGTGCGTGCGAGCGGGCCGTCCGCGGTGAGGTCCCTGCTACCGCGGCGGCTCCGCACGGTCCGCCGGATGGCCCGCCGGTGGACGCTGAAGACCTCGTTGAAGTACTCGTCGATGGCGTTGCGCAGCGCGTGGTTGGGGTAGATGCCTGGCCCAGACATCCAACTTCGTGAGAAAATTCAAACGTTGTCTGCAGGGCCGAGGCGACCTTCAAGGCAGCCCAAGAACACGTCAGGACATCCCACACAGCCTGAAGACTTCACGTGATCGCCTTTCGACGACCGGGGATCCCCTGCGTCGCTGCCAGGACGCACATGGAAACTCCCCTGAAGCTTGCCACACGCTGATGGCTCACTATCGCCCCTCCCCTGATTCAAGACGACAAATGTTTGTTCGCAGTGTTCGGCCCTCCGGGGCCCTTGCTGGGCACCAGGGCCGTCGGAGCACGGCTCGGGACGAAAACCCAGCCCCATGTAGGGAAATAAGACGAAACCAGGACGAGGATAAATTCGGGTAAGGATAAATCGAGAATCTCTGAGATACCGCGGCTCTGGAGGATGTCTCGGGCGCCGCGGACTTCTCAGAGCGTTTTGGAACGCTCTGAGAACGCTCTGGATCAGTGTTATCCTCGTCCTAGCCCCGTCCGAGGAAAGGGTTCGGACTTCCGATGACCTCGTGATCAAAAATATTAAAACATCGAATGCGTGGGAATGGGGAAAGATAGAGTGGAGGGGACTGGCTCTGGTGCAGGGAGGCGGGAGCGCTGACTTGGGAGATCGGCGATGCAGTGCCGATGGATCGGCGGTGTGCCCTCGACGGCGAGATTGGACGTCTTCATGGGCCGGGTGTGGGGCCCAGGCCCCGGTGGGCGATGAGTGGGCGGTTGGGGGTCGAAGCTCCCGCCCCTGGGCCAATCCCCCCCGCTGCCGTTGCCCCCGAATGCCCGTCTTGGAGAGCTCCAAGCGGGTCACCGGCGAAGTTGTGCTGTGGGAGAGCCACCGCTCGATGTGCTGGCGGCCGTTTTCTGCCGTGGCAGCAGGCCCCGCCCGGGACACCCGCCCCGGGAGGATGGAGGAGGGAGGAACGAGGAGCGTGGAGCGAAGAGGGAGGAGCGAGGAGCGGGGAACGTGGTGCGAGGAGGGAGGGCAAGAGGGAGGAGGGCGGGAGGGAGGGAGGGCAGGAGGAGGATGTGCTCAGCGGAACTGGAACACGACGTGTTACAAGTCGTACTACCTCCAAAAGAGATGGGAGCGAGTGACACTGTTCATGATCTCCCAAGGACTGGGAGCGAGTAGTAACAGTTAGTAATGTATCCCAAAGAAATGGGAGCGAGTCGGGGTCTACGGGCGAATGACGTGTCCCTCCTTGCTCACCATTGGTCGACTGGCGACGCTCTGTCAGGGTTGTGTGGGCATGTGTTCACACTACCCCAGTCCTGCCATGCCGCGGTTGGGCGAACCATCGCTGTGTGCCAAGGCAGTCCTGACTGGCGGTCATCAGCGCTTGGCCTAGTCGCCCAACGTTGGTTGCTCATACAGCTGGGGCTGGTGAAGCTCAGCCCCCTGCGCAAAGGTCGTACTTGGGCCAACGCTCTCAAGATTGCGTTGGGCGTTGGGTCTTGTTGACCGTGTGTGCCCAGGTGCGTGTGTACACCAGCACCGAGCTAACACGATTTCGCATTCGTGCGCCCACTGGGTGAGCAATCGCATGCCTGGGGTGTTGGGCGGGTCGTGAAAGACGGGCCGGCACACCTAGCGTTCAGGCAGCGTGGCGTTGGTAGGTGCGCAGTCGTGCCAGTGGCCTGGCGAGAGCACGCGCGCTGTGGAAGCGTTTCGGTTGATGGTTCTGGTTCAACCTTGAATGCTGTGCTCGGTTTGCAAATGCACGTCGAGGCACATCATATGGCACCGCAAGTTGCAGCACCAGTTGTAGTCGCTGTTGCTACGCTCGTTGTCGTGGTAGCTTTCGTGGTGCGTCGATGTGCTCGTCGTGATGGAATGTGTTTTGTGGTGCCAATGGTACTTGAAGGACTCTTCGGAAAAGTCATTTTTGCAGACTTGGCTACATCTGCTGGGGCCGTGCCGTATGATGAGACAAATCCTGGTGGTGGAGTAGCCAATGGTGGCAGCCCTCAGGTTGGAATCCTGTGCTGGGTGGCAGCACGGGCCGTGTTGTTACGTGGTCGCTGGTAGCGGTTCCCAGGCATAGCCTGCCAAAGGCCTGCGGCGATCGGAGGCGCAAGCCATGTGACAGCGTGGCCGCTGGTAGCGGCTCCCAGGCAGGACGTGCCAGGGACCCGTGCCGAACGACGGCATCGGCTCTGTTGTGGTGGAGCCGCCAAGCGACGCGCGTTCGACACCCAGCACGTACCCCGGACCTGGCCTGACTCACGCAGGCCATGAGCGACTGGCGTGCCAGTGCAGGCACAGCTGGTCATTCCCACTGTCGGCACCACGGGCCTGCTCAGGGCTGGTGCGAAACATGCAATGTAGGCAGCAGCCCGTTGGCAGCTGGATGCCTGCGTCCGTGTAGGGCAAAGGTGTGCACAGTGTCTTCGTCGAGGAGGCCTGGAAAGCACGACGGTGGAAACTATCCGAATGCTGAGCTTGTAACCTTGCACTTCACACCACAGAAATAACTCGATATGTGGCGTAAATACAAACGCCCACTTGTGAACTACCGTGGATGCTCCAAAATTGTCTTGGTCACGAAATTGTCCAAATTCGTTGTTGGCCCAAGGTGCTGTGTTGTTCCACTGCTAGACAAACGTGAATGTCCCGAATGTCCGCCCCACGATAATGGCATTGCCCTGCTAAATCTGATGGACCTTCAGACTTGGGCGAAGCAGGTCGGCAACTTCCGAAGTGCGGCGGACATCTTGTACCGATGCGGCAAACATCTCTTTATACCACGATCCAAAACAACCCCTTGACTGTGCGTGTTCAAAAAATATGATGCGTGGGAAGGGAGCCAACTTGCTCATCGACAACCGCCGCAACGCACGGCAGTGCCAGCTATCCGCTGACTTGTGGCGGTGTTTTGCCAGGAGATCCGCGCTCCACGTCTGCGGCGCGTGGCAGGTCGAAAAGCGATCATCCTGGCGGTTCCTTGCTTCATTCGCCCCGCGGTCGGCACTGGGCCAACTGACCCGCACGGGCGAGCGAATTGTTGTTCTGAGCAGACTTAGGCACTGGTCTGACAAGTTCTCCTTCGTTCTGGGAGTCGGCCAGAAGTGGAACAATGTTCATATTCACGTTGGCGATACGCGAGGTTAACTTGGCACTGAACTCGCTGGGCCGTTGCCCTCTCGTCTCCTGCCTGATGGGAAGGAAGGGGGGGAGAGGAGGTTTTGCTGTAGTGCTCCCAACGAGAACAAGCCGTTGCGTCAGTGTACGTGTGCGTGCGTGTATAGCAGACGCACCCCGATCTTCCTGCAACCGCGAGGTTGGGTGGTTCGCAAGACGGTGGTGCGTACGCTACACCTTTGGCGTGCCAGCTGCGGCACAGCTAAATATCAACCGACGCGAGTCGCACAGCGCGCGGTGCAACGGTCCATTGACGGCGCTGCTGCACGCGCGCGCGCGCTTTCACGGCGAATTGCGGTTGCTGCGTGCTGGCGTGGTTTGCCAGACGCACGCGCCAAAACTGTCCTGCTGGACGGCCTTGCCGTCTGCGACGCGCCGAAGGTGCTGCTGATGATGGAAACATCGGCACTCGCCGTTGTACGCGGACACGAGAGGCATGTCGGCTGGGCTGACGTACCCCTGTCCAAGCTATGGTCGCAGAGTAGAGAGTGATGTGGTAGAGGGCGCAACGCACTGCTGAGGTGTTCTGCTGGCAGTCGATCCCGGGCATGCCGTCGCAGTAGACGCGAGTATGCCAACACGGTGGTGGCGTGGTTCTGAACAAGTGAGTGGCCTGGTTTGCATCAGGACAAGGAGGCCACAGATGCGAGTTCTTGCGGCTGTTGGTCAGGAAGCGGCCTCGGCCGCCGCGCGCGTCAGTGGGCGTGCTGGGCCCAATTGGGATAGCACCGACAGCTTTGGATAACGGTTGTTGTTTAGCCGCCAGCGCGCTGCCCTTGACTGACTGGAGGTCAAGGCAGCGGCGTTTGAGCGCCTTTCGAGCTCGGCGTCCAGATACAAGTGGAGGCCATGGGAGCTGGCGGGCGTCGGCTGTAGCAAAGTGGACGTCTGGCCGGCAGCCGCTTCGGCGGAAGGTGTTCGGATGGAGGAAGTGGATGAGTGCGAACAGGGCAAAGCTGAGCAGAGACAGAGCTGGGCGGATCTGGAGGCCGCGTGGTGGCAATGCCTCGTTTTTCCTTCGCGTCACTGTTGCTTTTGCACATCCTCCTCCTTCTCCTCGTCCTCCTCCTCCTCCTCCTCCTCCTCCTCCTCCTCCTGACTGTTTTCCTTGTCATATGCCTGGCATCGTCCTCCTCGCCTCGAGTTTGTGGCGTCTCCTGCGGCTTGGCGGCCCAGCAAATGACAGCGCGGTCCGTCGGAGAGGAGGCGGAGAGCTCTGCGGAGCTCGACCCATGGGATCGTCAGGCGCCGACTCAACTGCAGGCGCAGACCGCAAGCGGTGCGGACCGACAAGGCAAGAACTTGGCGAGGGGGTGCCAAGCCGAGCCGGCCGGCGAGACCTCAGTGGAAGCACTCCTCCGCCAGACGGCGGCCCAGCAGGTGACAGTGCGCTGGACAAGTCAAGCACCAGGCCCGCAACAGGTTGCATGCTGAAGGTAGATCGCGCCGAGTGGTGAATGCACAAGTGAGAGGCGGTGCGCAGTTAGGTAGCACTGCCCGCATCGGCTGGCATGTGCCTTAACTGTGCCTATTCACTGAGGCAGTGATGTGGCTGAGTAGGTGGATTGAGGTAGAAATCCAAAGAAAGCTTGCAATCTGGCACGCGTGCACACGGGCTGAAACCGCATGCCGGCTGACCCGGCCCGCATGAGGTCTCTAAGAGGTGCATCCCGTGTGACATTGCCGATCCTAGCCTGAGTGTGGTTGGGACAACCATCATCGGTGCCAGCAGGCACTCTGAGAGGTGGTTGGAGACGGGCTTGGCCATGCGTAGATGTGCTGGATGCGCCAGTCTGCGCGTGCAGAGGCGCACGGCGGGCTCTGCCTATGCGCGCGTTCCAGCGCACAGCTGAGCGTACTGATGCCCAGCGTGCGCTGCAAGGCGCGTAAGTGGGCGCGGGCGTTGCGCGTCGCGCGTGCTGGCGCCGCCGTGCACTGACCATGCCCAGGCGTGCGTAGCACGGCGCCTAGGACCGACAAGGCGTAGCACATCGTGCTTGCGCAGCTGCATCGCCAGGCATGGGCAATACCCCAGGCGCGCTGATCAGCATATGCGTGCGTATAGGTAGCGTGCACCGCGAAGCCTGCATTGCCTCGCACTGGCAGCACAAGCGTGCTCCCCACCAGCGAGTCCTGAGTGATCGGACAGATGCCACTGAAGAGACAAACGTGCACACCTCACTGTCCGAAGCTGCAGTGGCAGAGGGTGCACATATTGCCGTGTGGCCGCGTGCCTAAGCCGAATGGCGCAGCGCAGGGCGTAAATGTGATCCTGCAGCCGAAAGCACACCAAACGTGTCAGCGCGCCTGAAGCTGCGCGCTCAGCGCATCGTGCGTCCGAGCGCCAGGACGCACCGCGTGCACCAGAGCGTGGGACACCAGGTCTTGTTGTCAAATGAATGGTGCAGCTCTGCCCCGATTGCCTGTCAATCGCAATCAACATGGCTACCCTGTTGAGTAAGTGGACGGGCGCCGTGCCGGCGGTGAGCCTGACAAGTGGTTGTGGTCAGGGCCGCGCGCGAAGCGGCACGCAGAGTGGGCCACTTTCCTGTTCCTTGAGGAAGGCTGTGTGGCAAGGCTTCCAGGCAGCACGCGGCACGGCAGCAATGGACGCCAACGACATGCCTGGACGCCTCATCCTGGAAAAGGTGCAGGCGCAGGTGGTAGCAAAGTTCCCGTCGAAGTCCGCGTCGAGGAAGAACCAG